TCAAAAAATGATTTGAATGCCTTTCCGGTCGAATTTTGAGCTGCAATTTGGTATGGACAAACTAGACTTGATGAAGAACATGCTCAAAAAATTTCATCAAAAAATTCCACCGGGAACCGCCCCAAACGGCGGAGTTCGGACGGCGGCTGGACCGGGGAGGGCTGGACCTGATCTTTTTTTTTTGTGTGTGTATATATATATATATATATATATATATATATATATATATATATATATATATATATATATATATATATAGATTTAGGATCAAATGAGAACAACCCTTAACGTGAGAACGTGAGAACACCACATTTACCCAAATGTGATGCACAATGAGGCTCGCCCAATGCACATTTTCGCGTTCGGCACAGTATTTACTAAAATGCCACCGTCATTATTTATATAGGCTTATTTTGAGCTAAACCCAAATGTGCACCTGACGGGCTCAATTGTGTATCACGCTGGGTTAATTGTGAGTGTTCTCACGTTCTCACGTTAAGCATCGTTCTCACTGGAACCGCACCCTATATATATATATATATATATATATATATATATATATATATATATATATATATATATAGGGTGCGGTTCTGGTGAGAACACCCTCTTAGGAGAGGAAAAAAGATTAAAATCCAAGCATTCAATAATGTAATCGTGTGGCTAAGATAAGAGCTTGGGATTTAAAAAAAATCGTGCACCTCACGTGATTGGGCAAAAAATTAGTGTTAAGGGCAACTATGTAAAATGATGTTACAATATAATCGGCAACTAAATCTCCTTCCTAAAAAAACTCATTAATAAATACCGGACTAAATGGAATTTACCTAAACTCTCGGATGGTTATTGTTATGCTATTAAATTTTTAAGCTTTCTATTGTACACGTTGGATTTATAGTTGGATGGTTTCCATAGTTAGGAAAATTAAATCCTCCACTGCACCCTTCCTGATTTTTTTCCCCAGAATACGTAGTTGTTTTTTAATTTAATGATCAATTCCAGTCTTTTTATTTCAACTATAAATAATAAACTTTAATAAGTCAAAAGTTTTGCACTACAACTTTGTTTGAATGCACTTTTATTAAATACACTGCACAAGTTAGATCACAAGATATGCACTCGAGCATAGAATACTTGCACTTTTATCGAAAACCGTTTGTAACATCAATTTAATTAAATATTTAATTTTTCACAAACAGTTATTTTAATACTCTTTTAATAATCAACATCATTTATCAATGAAATCGATTATGAAGTGAAATACAGAGTACCGCTTTATTGTTTTAAACGCGCTTTTGTAAATTGCATGTGTATGTCATTAGGTTGCACTTTCTACACATTATACTGCACTTTATTTGTAATGTAATATTTGATTTCCACTTTTTATAAAATTAACCTAGCTACACTTTACGTGTAAGAGGTTTGCACACCCATATATGTATTAAACAAAAATGAATATAAATATATAAGAGTATAAACTATCAACTAACAAGTGCATTTTAAATATATATAAAATGCACTATTTGTCATACTTTCGAAATTACTTTGGCACTCTTATATAAAATGAAATGCACTTTTATCACGTGCATATTAAATATATTCAAAAGTGCATCACTATATTAAATTTCCTGATATAAAATGCATTATTTCTATTGTGAAAGTGAAAATAATGTAAATAAAAAGTTAGTGCATCATTACTTCGACAAAGTGCAATGAAAAATTGTATGTAAATTATCATGATTATGAAAAAATATAAACACAATTAATGTACATGCAAGTTATCAAAAGTGCATCGAATAATATACTAAATAACTACAGAAGATGGTAAAAAATTAAAATATAATTAAAAACAATCTAATAAAATAAAATAAAATAAAGATGGATTAAAAGTGATACGTAAGATAAATCCTTTCAAAAGAAAGAACATAGGAATACATCAAACATACGCACACGAAGGTAAATTAACGAATCATAAAGATTTGGCATTAAATGGGGCGGTTAGCATTAAATATATAAATACTATGAAATGACTACAATACCCTATTGGTGTATACACGTTACATTGAAAAGAAATGATGATCCAACGGTTGTGAGTTGTTCTTTTTTACTCTCCTAAGATTAAGTTCTCACGTGAACCTAAATCTATATATATATATATATATATATATATATATATATATATATATATATTTATATGTAGATTTTGGTTCAAATGAGAACGAGTCTTAATGTGAGAACGTGAGAACAAATCACAACCATCGATTTAGAAGACTTGATCTGCGCTCAACTTAAATTACGTGAAGGCTATTTACGTATTTTAGTCCTAAGCAGTTTTGGTAACCAACTAAAGGTAGTTAATGCATTCCATATATGATCCACGTTCCACATTTCTAGGAATGTAATATTATATTAATTTTTAATTTCATTCCTTACGTGAATTTAGTTGTCCATGCTTAGAAACAAAATATTCTTTTTTTATATTAAATTTCTCCATTAAATTATAATTTATTTTCTATTCATTTAATTTGCATCAAATACCAATTGTAGTGTGCTTTATCATAGCTGATAGTAAGATGGTCGGTTCATGTGCTGTAAATATAGGTTGTTGTTTGTGAAATACTGATTCTTGTGCGGTAAATACTTGCTGTGATTGTATATATACTATACGTTAGGTACTAGTTCTCGAGTGTATATTTGTATTGTGCATAAGATATTGATTCTTGTGTGTTATATACTATTTTAATTAGTGTGAATTCTTTATACATTAGATACTAATTAGTTTTTAATTGTTGTGCATTAGATACTGCTCTTTGTGCATATACTAATATGTGTGTATACTAATATGTGTCAGATAATGTTCTTTGTGCATTAGATATTGAATTTTGTGCTTAAGATACTTGTTTTAGTTTTTCTTATACATATTGTGTGTTATATATTGGTTGTTGTGCGTTAGATATTAGTTGTTGTGTGTTAGACACATATTGGTGTGCATGCGATAGCTAAAGATGTTTCTTGTGATTTATTGTATAGATATTATACTTATTTTTTTGAAACAAAATTATATATGACATATTGGTGTCATATGAAAGATAAAAAAAATTATAAAATTTGATATGATTTTTGTTAAAATCATATTATTATTTACAAAGTTAAATCAGTTTTTAAATTAAACCATTTTAAATGAATAGACCTTTAATCCTTCCTAATGTTACGTAAGTGATAACCTCCATATTTTGACTTTTTTACCCTTTAATCATGCCACGTATCTTAAATTAGTATGCCTGATGCATATGTGTGTGACACGGTGCATGATTTTTGATATGCACCTTCAAATTAATGAACCGTCCGTTTCTCCAGATCAAAAGCCAGAATTTGCTCTCACGCTCTCACAATAAGGGATGTTCTCACTAGAACCCATCCCTTTATATGTGTGTATATATATATATATATATATATATATATATATATATATATATATATATATATATATATATATATATATATATATATATATATATATATATATATGGAGCGGTTCCGGTAAGAACAGATCTAAGGAGAGAAATGAGAACGAATCTGGACCGTTGGATTGAATTATGTGGAACTGAATTGTGCATTTGGTAAACTTGAAATGTGCATTAGATGATATTGAAATGTGCAGAATAAAATTTAAAACTCACATGTGCATTAGGTGAAACTGAAATGTGCAGAATAAAAGGTACAAAAATAACATCACATCGTACCTTTTATTATGCACATTTTAGTTTCACCTAATGCACATTTCAATTTCACTTAATGCACAATTCAGCTTCACATTATGCCACTGTATCGTACCCCTTGTGCTGCACATTTCAATTTCACCTAATGCACATTGCAGTTTCATCTAATGCACATTGAATTTCACTTAAAACAAATCTGACGATCCAGATTCATTCTCATTTTTCTCATAAGATCGTGTTCTTATTTGAACCAAAACCTATATATATATATATATATATATATATATATATATATATATATATATATATATATATATAAAGAGACCCGGACCGGACCCGGTAGCTACCCGGTCCGGTCCCGGGCCCAACTATTCAGAACCGGCGGCCCGCCTGGGCCTAGGCCCGGCCCGGACCCGACCTGGCCCGAATCCACCCCTAATAACTGAATAAGGAGTCATTAAATTCTAAAACAACTCAAAGGAATCGACAACACAAATAAATGTCACAAGCAATTTTTATTGACTTTTTTAGTATGTTTTTAATTGGATTGAAATTTTTTGATCTTGTCTATGTGTATTTTATAACTGTCGAAATCTAGTCTAGTTTGCTCTATTTAAATCTTATCTGATCAGTTTAAGTCCGTTTTAATCCAATCTGGTTGAGTCAGGAACAAAAACTAATCTGTAAAAACATCCTTAGCCAATAAATAAAATATTCTCTAATTGATCATGAGATTTTTATTTTATTACTATAATAATATATAAATAATATTACCAAAATAAAGATGGTTTACAAAAATATGACTAGTTATTAGAGTAGTAATGAAATCATAGTAATTCATGTTCATGTAGTAATGAATAGTCATATTTATGTATATAAATTTTATTTTCGTAATATTCTTGTGAAAACCCTTTAATATACTTAAAAAAGTTTTGAACGTGTTTCCATTCAATGTGTCTTCAGATTTATTTTTATTTTATATATTCAATATTGATGTCATATGAAAGATAATAAAAAGTTATGAATTTTTTATAAATTATTTGTAAAAAATGGAATATAAATTATAAAAAAGTTATAGCAATTTATAAATATAAGAAACTTTTTGAGTTTGGGTACCCATGATTGTATATTTCAACAGTATTTTGGTAAATAGTTTTAACTAGACCCCAATTTCGTAAATGGTTTTTCATTTAACATTATTTTGAAAAAAAACTCCAAAAAAAACTTTTATCAAATAATGATGTTATCTTGGTATTGAAGTATTAGCTTTGGGCGAGAGATTAATGTTACATTCTCAATCAAATAATGATGTTATCTTACATCCGGGAGGTAACCATTTACCTAATGTGATCTAAATCCGTGAACCACACCCTAAACGTCAAGTCATTTCATCTCAAAAGTTCAGAGGGGCATTACTTTAGCAGCTATGTGTTTCTTTGTGCATGAACATGTCTTCTCTCGACCAAGTATGTTCCACGGTATTACACTTGCAAATACTAAGACCCGGAAAGCTCTGAGTGATAAACTCAGGCAAATTCCAGAAGCAAAGAGAAAAACGGAAATTTTGCACACAGGAAAGCCAAATCCCTAGCAAACTGGTCTGCGGACTTACATGCCTTTACATTAGCTTTGAAGAGCTGACATACTTGAGACCAAGTGTCTCGAGACTGAGCTCTTGTCAGTTTTCACCATGCAGTCTCACAAATATTGTTTACTCCTATGTTGGATATAGCTTGGTTTCCAATGCTTGTTCCTGCAATGTATCCACCTGACCAAGCATTCTGCAGCAATTACGATTCAAGATAGTTGGTGATGAGCATAAACAGGTTGTTACGCCTAACTCTCCAGCAGAAAGTAAAAAAGGAAAATCAAAGCTAGCCAAATTTATAAGTCACGGTGGAAAATGTCTCTAATTTACTGCTCCTGAGCCTTAAACCCACTTAGGGTTGGTTTGCAACTGCTTTTAAAAAAGCACTTCTCAGCTTTTGGCTTTAAAAAAGCATTTATTTTCCCAAACACTACAACTTTTATTTTTCTCGGCTTCCGCGTCAAAAGTGCTTTTACTTTTTCTATTACCCAAAAAACACTTATTTTACCAAACACTATCCACTTTTACTTTTCAAAATCACTTTTTTCTCAAACACTATCAACTTTTATTTAATCACTTCTCCCCATTTCATTAAAAAAAACATTTTTTAAAAGCAAAAGTTGTTGCAAACAGACCCTTAGTCCCAAATTATTTGACGTTTTAGGCATTTTCTGGTCCCAGAGTTATGTTTAAATTAATGCATATTTTTACTTATCTTCCAAATATGCCCATATTATATCTCCCGACATTAAATCCTTTTGAACATTAAGAAATAAAATAAAATGTATTTGATATTAAAACTTAAATAAGAATAATGATTATTTAGAAGATCCCTTATTATGTATGCCCTTCTGTGTAGCAATAACTGTTCTGGGCCAGAGGCTGGAGGGAATACATTATTCCACCTAGTAGCCAGAATACATTCCTATTACCTGAAAATTAAACCCTCCAGTTATACCATCAACATTTAGTACCTACAGAAATCAGAAGGCATCTTGATATGTGAAATAAGATCCTACATACCACCTATAGAAAGGTAAGAAACTCATAAGTAGGATATTAAAACCTCTCCAGCAAAGTATAGACGTGGATGAATCCTGCTTTGCATTGTATTCAAGTAGATCTGCTAGAAAGGTATTCGATATGTTAAATCTCAATGATCAAAGTGCATATTAGCTCAATGGGTTTCAAAGTGACAATTGATGTTATATTATACATAATTTATAGAGAAAACTATCAAATAAGCCCCCGTACTATACCGAAAAAGTCAATTAGGCCCTCGTACTTTACAAACACCCAATTAAGTCCTCGAACTATTAGAAAACGTTCAATTAAGCCCTTTCGGTCAGTAAGTAACCGGATTTCCGGTTAAATGTAACCCGTTTCCCGGCAGCCGCCGTTGCTGGGGTTCGAGCACACCGTCGTCGCCGTTTAACCGGGAAACCGGTTACTTACCGACCAAAAGGGCTTAATTGAACGTTTTTTAATAGTTCGAGGGCTTAATTGAGTGTTTGTAAAGTACGAGGGCCTAATCGACTTTTTCGGCATAGTACGGGGGCTTATTTGATAGTTTATATAACGATCAATGATGTCTGCAGAAACATCCCCAGAGAGTAACGGGGAAAGGGAAAAGAGAGCACCTCAGACAATGGAACTCCTCCAGCCGTGACAAATTCATCCTTAAATTGTCCCTTCAAGTGATATGAGAGCACATTAAGGTTTCAATGCTTTTACGCACCAAATGAAAATGTAAGAAGGCTAGAAAACTGGTAAGCTTTACCTTTCCCTTCACAGTAAAGGAGCAATGCTTTAAAGTAAACACAATGGACATTAAAGAATTGTTGGAAATGGAAGACCACAAGATATCTCCATTTAGTCCCTGCAAAGAAACAGTGGACATCGATAATCTAGGACTAGCAGAAGTGATGCATGGAACGATTAACATAAATAGTGATCCTGAAACTAGGAGTGACCATCCAACCTCATGGTCTAAAAGATACTTCCAAAATCTCTTGGGAAGGCCAAGTTCCAAGGGAGATGAATTGAGCAACTTTTGTCTCTGCATGAAAGAAAGGATATATGACATAAAATCTTTTGTAAAATCCAAATAGAAGATTGTGAAAATGAAAGCTATTAGATCAAGTATGTTATTAACAACAAGTCAACAACGATACTATAAGGTATGTCTATACTGTGGGCTCAAAACTCTAGCATACCTAGCCCCCTTTTGAGGTTATAGGGTGACCATCATTGCTATCTTTTTTTAGCTCTCTTTCTTCAGGTGTGCATATAAAAACGTTTATCTTTAAATATAGCCTTTTGTTTCTCTCCTAGCATTTATAAGTTCAACTTTAATTGTTCTTTATTTGTTGGCATCCGAAATATGAAATTATTGGGGGTTTCATAATTCCCTTTGACCATAAATATAAAAAAAAACAATAAAAACATAGTTTTATTTTATTGTGACCAGAGTGGGCACTGATTTCAGCATAATGTGTAACAGTTTTTATTTTACATTAATTATTACATCATCCTTTTATTTGCCGATCTAAATGGCTGGACGACGACACTTGTGACCCTCTTTTCTTTCGGATTTGACGTCTGTTCCGGGTTTAAAAACATCTCTACTATGATAGACTATAGACAAGTTTCTATGTAGTAAATATTGGGTAAGTAACCAGAAACTTCATGTCTTCATGACATTGAAAATGACAGAAGTACCGCAAAATGATTCTTGTGCTTAATGAATATGGACTTCAAATTATCAATGTGATGCTCAGGAGCGAAATCTACCAATAAAACTCCTGCACGACACTGCATTAATGTATTACTTTAGAGAATAAATGGGACAATTATTACCGGGAATAAATAAAATTCACTCAAATCATACCCTTATAATCTGACTTGGCAAGATAACGTGCTCCCCAAGCAGATAACCGAAGGATCACTGGCCCACTAAGTCCCCAATGTGTGACTAACATGGGCCCAACCTAAACGCAAGTGTTATGGTTAGTTACTGAAAAATATAATGTTACTTCGTTCATTAACTGCAAGTAGTCCTAAAAGCTTGCCTGTGTAAGTTGTGGTACATTCGTCCGAAGGGCTTCGAATACCAGTTTTGCTTCCACTTTTGGGAATGTGACCTGGAGGGATGATAGGAACACGGACAATAATATTAATAAGAATAATAGAACAGTAATAAAGAGTGTAATAGTGTATAAATGAAGGTTATGGGCCATGTAGCGGAATAATGGGCCAGCCCTTAAAGAAATAGAAGTACTATAAGAGTAAGGAAGGGGGGAAGAAGAAGGGAGACTGTTTTTTTCTGTTAGTTGAGCTGGGAGATCTAAGACTTCTCTAATTGTCTCGTTAGAGCTAGTATTCCTTCTGTAAACCTTTCATTACTGAAATAAAAATTTCTTGTTCATTTTTTTGGTCTATCTTTACTGATTCTCTATTTTTCTAAGTCGGAATTACCAGTGTTCTATCAAGGGAGAATCAGAAATGTATGGAGAAAGAATATACGATTGTAACATTACCAAAATTATCTATGACATATGCAACAAGGCATATATTTCTGTCATAGAACCAAGATTCTCAAAGCATTTCTTGAATGCCAAAAAATGTATTCTTGTTAAGAAAATGTTAAAGGCAACTTTGTGATAAGAGACTGTAATGATAGAATGTAGCTACCCCGGATAACTCTATCAACCGCAAATCATCAATCTTGAAAGTGAATAAACTTGGGACAGGTTCTATAATGGAGTGGCCAAGTTGAGTGGCAAGATTGTAACCCTGAAAGAGCAGAAATGTATGTCAACTAAATTAGAGGTGGAATTGAGCAGTGTCTAAACTATGCAAAGATGAATTACCGCCACGACAGACACATAGAAATACCTGCTGACTACTCCCACTAGCAATCAACAGATAGTCTGCTTCTAAATACTCAACATAGTCAATAGAGCGTTTCTCGAGCTTGACACTGAACTTCCCACCACTAATGCAAGACACATTTGTGACAACTTTTCCCGTTTGCAGTGAAACTAATTGAGAAACTAACATATCAGTGGATGAATAAAAAAACTTCTAAGGCCCCCATTGCCTTTCCTCCCCAAACCCAAAAAATGACGTAATGCTGTATGCTGTATGTGAACATACAACAGCAAATAATACATTAAAACATCCCAATCCAAAGTCCAAACAAAACTAGAGTATATACCTCCCCCCTTCCTTGCTTTAGATATGAGGCAGTCAACTATGGAAGACGAACTGTTACTGACTGGGAATACCCTTCCATCTTCCTCAATCTGGAAAATTATATCTTTTATCTTCAACCAGAAGGCAAAGGAAAAAAAATAAATGTCTCTATAGATACGGAGTATTACTTTCAGCTCCACTCCTTTTTCCGAGAACCAAGACATAGTATCCATTGGACCATGGATAGTGAAAAATGTGCCTCTCAGTTCCTTGTTTCCCCTTGGATAGTTCTCTGCCAAAATCTACACATTCAGTGTTGCATTTAGCAAGTAATTGCAATAACTTCATAACGTTTTTTGACTTATTTCTATAGAGAAAATAACACTCCTGTAGCTTTCTGGAATAGTGGGCAGACAAATATAGTTCAGATGTGCATATTTTCCATGAACTTTTTTTATTAAGCCCGTGGTAGTGTCAGCATTTTATCAGATAACGAAATCCAGCTTTAACATGCTCACCATATGGTCTGCAAAATGTCCATTTGTCACGTTACAGCGGCCTCCTCCAGAAATTTTCACCTGTAGAGGAAGTGCGTAAGTTTCTCATAAGGGAAAATTTACCAGGACATTCAGAACTACTAATAAATGTAATTGCATCTTAGTAACGTACATCCAATGCACACAAGCAAGACTGCAGAGTAATCTATTACAGGTAGAGAGAAACGCCAACCTTGGATAAGGGCTTCGCTTTCTCAATTACAACAACTTTGAGGTTGGGCGCAGCTGTCTTGGCGTTAATGGCACCGTACATTCCGGCAGCGCCACCACCTACGACCACCAGCACCTCCTCTTCACTTGATTGCTTATGAGATAAATATATGCCGTGAGTTGAGGAGCAGAAAAACTACAATCCAATGTCTGCAGGGATAAATGTTACCTTTGGATTTGGAGAGAGCGAAAGAGCATTATATCTTCTTGTATGGTGGCCAGATAATGAATACCTAATGATACTTGAGAACATTGATGGAGTTTCAGAAGCAAAACTCATTCTATATATGAATCGCGGAGAGGCAAAATTCATTATGTGCATTTTGGCCTACGCGTCCACTAACGAACTGAACTGATTGCTTCAAGCCTAGTCGCCCAGCATAGTCTCTGCTCCGGGAGCTATGCTCAGGCAGCTCTTTGGCGGTGCGGCTGAGAAAAAATAATTAATTTTAAAAACTTTTTACATAGAGTATTAAAGCTTAGGGGTGGGATCGGTCCGGTCTGGGTCGGGTTTTTGCTAAACCCGGAAATTACCCGGAAGGCCTCGGGTTATGAAAATTAGGGACCGGAACAAAGCCAATCATATTCAGTCCGAGTCGGGTTTTTGGTAGCCCGGGTTCGGGTTGGGCCGGTTAAAGCCCGAACGTGAACTATCTCATTGTTCTTTTATATTTTAACACTATTTTCAAATAAAATTAATGAAAAATACAAACCGCAAATAATAACATAAATATTAGTCTTCAAAATCACCAACAATTCAAATCCCAAGAAGATAATTATCTTAATATTTTATTTAAAATGCATATAAATAAATAATAAAGGTTTCTTAAAAATATTACGAAATAAAATTTATAGATAAAAATGTGAATAGAGTTCCTGTAAATATATTTTCATGGTCATTATGCTAAACAAATTGAACATATTTGTAGTCACCAAAAGTTACTACAAATATGTACGGACAGGTGTAATTTAGCTTTCAAGCCCGTGCGATGCACGGACAGATGTAATTTAGCTAATTTAAAATTTGATTTCTTTCGGATCATATGTAATGTGATTTAAAAGAAAAATAAACTTAGTCTAATATAGAGCCTCTTTGATAATACTAAAATAAATTGAATTAACTTATTTTACTCAAATTGATTAAATTATGACTGAATGGGCTAAATGAGTGGAATCATGAAAAAATATGTAAAATATATTCCATTTGTGAAGCCAGAAAAAGATTATATGAAAAATAGTTAAATTGTCTTCTACATAAGCATCTCGAATAAATATAATTGCTATGAACCCGATTTTAAACGTTTAATATAATCTTATAAGATGGATATTCATAGAAATTTAATACGGAGTATATATTAAGTAAAATAGTCTAAATATAGAACCTGTTTTTTTAAATTGTAAGCCTAAACGTATAAACGTATACTATAACATTTAATTGTTATAATGGAATTAAAACGTATAATTCTAACACATAATTCTAAGCCTAAACGTATACTATAATATTTAATTGTTATAGAAATTAAAACGTATTATATTTTTGGCTAAGAATACCTGTCATATATAAACTTAGCCTAAAATAGAGCCTGTTTAATATAGTACTTTCTACGGATTTTTGTTTCCATATCAATATGCAATCAAACATAGAATCTAGCTAATAAAAATAGAAGGTACAAATTAACTAAATACTTAATATATATAATGACATGGCAGGATTATGTGGCGCTCTGTATGCTCTTAAAAAGTTCCTCTTTTATATATATATATTGATTTTATATTAAAGCTAATTGTTTCGGGTTTTTTCGGTCCGGGCCGGGTTATAGATTTTAAGGCCCGTTAATGAGCCCGGAATTTCGGGTTCGGTCCGGGTATTTTTAATTCGGGCCGGTTAAAAAGAAAAAACCCGGACCGGGGTCATAATTCGGGTCGGTCCAGGGTCGGTTTCCGGGTTTCAGTTCGGTTTTTCCCACCCCTATTAAAGCTGTGTACTATGACCCCTTTTGTTATTATTTGACGCAAACGGTAGGGTACTTTTAAAAAATACGGAGTATTTTATCCTCACTACTTTATCTGGAGTGAGGATAGTAAACTACTTTACATAGAACTTTTGACCATGGATGCTCTACTTTTTTTTCAAAAAAAAATAGGGAGTATGATTTTTTCCCTTAATGATAAGAACTTCTGCCATTTGCATTTTGAAGAAGGCGACTTTCTAGACTTCTTATTTCTCACGGATGAATTTATAATTTTTTTACTGTATTTCATTAATTATTTTGATCACTCAAAAATATAGTATCAGTATGTACTATGTAGTATTAGGGAGTGTTTGCAAGAACTTAAAAAAACATTTCTCATCTTTTGACTTGAAAAAACACTTATTTGCCAAACACTACCAATTTTTACTTTTTCTCGGCTTGGGTGTGAAAAGTGTTTTTCCCTTTTCTATTACACAAAAAGCACTTATTTTATCAAACACTACCAACTTTTACTTTTCAAAATCACTTTTTTCTCAAAAACTATCAACTTTTACTACTAATCACTTTTTCTTTACATCTCCAAACGTGCTTTTTTAAGCAGAAGCAGTTGCAAACACTCCCTTAGTATATGTATAAATTACTGCATTTTCTTCCATTTCAGCGTAAATCAGAAATCCCAGCATTTTAATATTCTTTCTCTTCTTTTTTGGCTCTTTAATTTGCAGCGCCGATATCATATCTTTTAATTTTATAAGGTCATTGTGATATCTATCTCGTATATGTATAAATTGAAAAATATGAACACTAACGCTCTATTTGCAAGTGATTATGCTTAAATAAAAGCACTTTTTGGGAAAAAGTGATTAGTAATAAAAATTGGTAGTGTTTGGTAAAATAAGTGATTTTTGTGAGATTGAAAAAGAAAAAAGTATATTTTACACGAAAGTCGAGAAAAATAAAAGTTGGTAGCGTTTGGTTAAATAAGTGATTTTTTCTTTAAAAAAACCACAATCACTTAAATTAAGAACATGCAAATAGAGCCTAAGAAATTAAGTGCTTGAATTAAGTCATTGAGTTGTAAGCCACTCTCGGCTTTTACTATAAGGCTATGTGATCTTTTTCTAATTTACATGCAATGCAAAGTTATTTTCCAAACAAACAATGTAAAGTTTTAATGTGTAAACTATCAAACAATATATTTATATTTTATATGCAAAATAATCGCGTCCTTACAATTTATTTGCAATCAGTTTACATGTAAAGTTTAATGTGCAAAGAGCCAAACACCCATGTAAGTATACTACGAATATTTGAATAAAAAAAGTATACTAGTACTACGAGTATTTAATTTTTTTTGAAAACAAAACACTTTCATTTATTATAGATATCCTTCCTAAGAAGAGGTGGTACATCAACCCATAGACAATCAAACTCTGAAATAGCTTGCTCGGCTAGAGCATTAGTAATCCTATTCGCTAATCCTCGCCATACTGGGCAGAAATATCAGCACTTAATGTTATCATGTGTCTAATATCATTCGCTAACATCGCATCATAGGAGCAACCCCCGAACCCTTCACCTGCTGAACCACAAGCAAAGCGTCTGACTCTATTATCACTCGGTGCCACCCTTGTGCCTTTGCCCACTTCACAGCTTCACCAATTGCTATGTACACAGTAGTCGTCGCTTGGAGACATCCAACAAAGCTCTTCCTCATCCCTCGAATAAAACTTCCCTCATCATCACTAGCAACCAAACAAATATCCCTTCTCATACCGTTTTGACCCAGCGCCCCATCCACATTAATTTTTATACTGTTTACTCCATTTGACCTATTCTCTCTTTTGAGCCAAACTCTTTGTGTTGTTTATGCACTTCCTTACAACCATTCAAGACTGTCATAGTGTCATGGCTATTCTCTCATCCCCTTCCAACCTGCTTTGTGTTTATTCCAGACGCTATCATTTCTAATTTTCCATAGGTTCCAACACATCATCTTAAAAATTCACGCCTTCTCTTTCGACATTCCCCCCATAACATTACCCGCCTAGTCCGCCACCGATCCACCTCCCTCTGTCCCTAGTCATCTGTTTCTCCACAAGGATTTAGCTACCAAACAGTCCTGGAGTACATGTATGGCCGTCTCCGGGTTCGTCTCGCACAACGGGCAAACAGGGGTCACCGAAATACGTCTTTGTTGAAGCCTATCCCTCTTCGACAGGCTATCCAAACATGCTTGCCAGAAAAAGACTTTCGCTTTAGGAGGGGTATCCAGGCCCCACACTCGGGGCCAAATCGGCCGGACAGTGCGGCCCCGACCAATGTGATAGCATGCCCCTTCTCGGACCACCGGAATAGCCTCTGATAAACTTCTCCAAATCAGAGAAGGGTTACTCCTCACTTCTGCCTCCAAAACTGACTGGTAAGGAAAATAACGAGCCTTTAACGCTCGTTAGAGCCCCGGGGTGGTGTAACTATCTACGAGTATTTAATTAAGTGCACAATATACAATTTTAGAGTTGGTAACACTGAAGTCGGCCGATTCTGCTGAAATTTATTAAGTTTTGGGTGAACTTGATGATTTGACTGAGTAAGTTGATTTATGAAAACATTATATTTAAAATATATTTCATTAATAAAATAAATAAATAAATAAACGATATGAAAAAATAGTTGCAATAGTCCTCTACCATAACTTCAACCAATACAACCAGAAAAGTAACTTCAACCTTACTTTTTCTAATTATTGCACAATTCAGCGCGCGAAATCTGAAAAAGTAGGCTGATAAATCTGACAAACCAAAAAACAGAGTCACCAAAAGGGCTCTTAAACTTTTAATCATGTGACAATTATTTAATTAAAAGATTTATTGTATTCTAAAACATTTTTCAGCGTGAAATATTAAATATTGAGATTATGTGGGAGAATTGCTCAGAACGTCTGTTACAAAATGTGTTGATAACATATACTAGTACAATGGAAAAGATTGTTTCGCGTTACACAGAAGTTTGAAAATCATAACAACATTGTATTACTTGAGAAATTATTAAATTGAATTACATATAATGATAAATGTTATGAAACGCTTCTTTTTAAAAAGTATTTTGGGTCTTATTAGTGGTTCCTCCATCATCTGAAATGAAAATTTGCAATTCAGTATGTTAATCATCGTAGACACAATCACGTTGAGCTGTCTGTGACTAAAACATGGGTTTTCAATAGCGGTCCAACATATATGGGACACTATTAATTGGGTGTAAATAATTTTAGTTATATTTGAAACAAATAAATAAAAACTTGTGATTTTAATTGAATTGTTTAGAAGTATACTCTATACAATAATAAAGTTTGTCATAAAATGAGATATGTTCGATACGATTTACCAATTATTATGGAGTAGTACACAAATTTATATTCCAACAAAGTAGTAATTAGGATATAGTAGAAACATAATTTGATAGTACATTAGATTGCATGTTAAATGTCATGAAACACACCTTTCTACACAACATTATATTCTCAATCTCAATGTTTGTTCCCCTGTCATCGGATGTAATGTGATTTTTTAACGGTCAACGATTGGTTACTCTTGACGCAACTAGGTAAAATTGTGTGTGGCTACAAATAGTTTTTTCAACAACAAATCAATCTCGACGTTGACTGTCTTTGACTTTTATTTACAGTCATGACACAATAAGTCATGTGTTAGGTATTATTGCATCCGGAATCGGAATGACAATCTATATTTGAATGTGTTAAACAATGACCGGAAATTAACATCTTATATCCCGCACTCTAACTTCTCTTAAAATCTTTCCTTCTAGTAAAATGTTTTGCTAATAATTCGCCCGTGTGATGCACAAAATGATTTTAGTAAAGAATGTTTTCATTTTCAAAGGTTTATTTATCTTAATTGAATGTAAATTATTTATAATGATTAAGTAATAGAATGATTACACAATCTATGCTATAATAATTAAAAACAATATATAAATACTAAGCCTGCCTATCAAAAGTGCATTATATCATTCTTAAACTATACTACATATTTGAATATAAATCTTGTTGGGAAATGTCCAAATAAGTCCTTTACTATTTCATACATGTCCGTTGAATCCATATTTAAAAGATGTAATGATAACATTTAAGCTAATTTGATTTCGAAACACATTGAATCCACTCACTAAAAAGGTTGTTACAACGGTTTTGGAGGCTAAGCCCCTCACAGATCGATCGACCGATTGCCGCGAAGTAGGGGAGGGCAATCGGTGTCTCTGGCCTTACACTCCTCGAGCAAAAGGTCGTTTGTCTATGAGGCTTTGGTTCGGCACTTCTGATTGCATTCCCTCTTTTATAGAGATGAAATCCCTAAAATTCCGACCTTTCTCCATAGTTTCGGTCAGCTAGTTAGGGCGTGATAACTGAGGAAGTGATGTATGTACCTTAATAAATTTGTCCAGGGTTTGCTCAATTGTTTGTATGAATTATGGAAGTGGTTTGTTAAAATTAAACCGATTTTCCGACAAAGCTGAAGTAGTTAATAAACATCGACAAAATGGGTTGGTTCTAAACATTTTGGGAATGAAGATGGTTCTCACACTTCTCCGACAAAGATGGGAGAAGTAAAATGGGTTTGGTTCTAAACATTTTCAACATAAATGTTTAAAATTTATGTTTATAAACTGCTTCCATTTTGTAACTCGCCAGATCTACCATTGAAGGTCGTTCGCTCTCAAAGTTCCTCAAGCATCGAAAAACAAGTATTCACAGCCCCTTCCCTTCCCTTAGATGTGAAGCGAAGCCAAGAACGACTAATGAGTGCTGATCCACTCTGAAACCAACTACGTGGGGGTGAATTTCTTGGGGCGGCTTTCGTCTTCAAGCGTGGATGTCTTTCTAGGTTTATCCTAGCCTATTTTTCCGGCGGCGAGCTTTGCTCCGCTTGGTCCGGCAGTTTTGCTCAATGAGTATTATTAGTTGGAATTGTCGTGGACTCAGAAATCCGGAAACAGTGCAACGTTTAGCGGATATTGTTCAGGCTCATCGTCCGTCTGTGATCTTCCTCATGGAAACTAAAATCCGATGTCAATGAGCAAAGGATTTACTACGGGGATATGGTTTTGCCCAGTCTGTGGGTGTGGATAGTGCGGGGCTTAGCGGGGGACTGGTCATGGGATGGAATGATGATCTTGAGTTAAATGTTGTACAATGACATGCAAATGTTATAGACACTACGGTCAGACTTGCCCCAAATGATCAAGTATGGAGACTCGCCTTTTTCTATGGATTCCCGGATACGGTGCGAAGCAGAGAAGCATGGGATCTTCTGACAGGATTAGGTGAAAATAATAACAAGCCTTGGATGATTTTAGGTGATTTTAATGATATTTTATATGATTCTGAAAAGAAGGGGATCATCTCTCACCGACTCTGGTGACTCAAAGGCTTTATGGAGGCGGGGGCATCATGTGGGTTAAGGGGTTTCCCCTTTGATGGATATCAGTGGACTTGGGAACGAGGTACTGGTACAAATTACCATGTGGAGGAGAAATTGGATAGAATAGTTGTTAATGATGACTGGTGGAACATGTATACAACGGCACAGGCTCGATGACATGTAAGTGATCATATGGTTTATATGTGAAAATTATTCCTGCAGTCATGACGCGGAGAGCAAAAATTTTCAAGTTTGAGAATAGCTGGTTAAAGGAGGAGGAGTGTCGTACGGTGGTAGCCAATAGCTGGAGTGCAAGTACTCATCTCTCGGTCAGTGAGAGAATTCTTTTTTGTGGATCCGAGCTTCTGAGATGGGATGGTCGGCGTAAGAAGGGGTTCAGACAGCAGATTCAGGCATGCAAAAGGCGACTGGCATGGCTACGCTGTAGAGATGATTGGCAAAGCACGAGGGAGTTTTTACAGGTTCGCTCTACACTTTATTTTTTGTTGGAAAAGGAGAATCTGTTCTGGAAGCATAAGGCAAAGGAATTTTGGCTAAAAGAAGGGGATATTAATTCCTGCTTTTCCCATAATGCAGTAAAGAAGAGATGGCGGAAAAATAAATTGGCTGGGCTAAAGCACGCAGATGGCTCGTGGTGTTCTGACTAGGGATGGCAATGGGGCGGGTTTGGGGTGGGGGTACACTCCCCCATCCCCGCCCCATGTCTAAAAAGTTCCCCCCATCCCCGCCCCATCCCCTGTTACTCCCAGACCCACCCCATCCCCACCCCACCCCGTTGTCCCCCACGGGTGCCCGCGGGTGCCCCCATATATATTTAATTTATCATATTTGCATATACTTTTAATCGATTCTAAATATGTGGTGCGGTTCCAATGAGAATGATGCTTAACGTGAGAACATCAGAATACTCACATTTAATCCAATGTGATACACAATAGAGCCCTTCTAGTGCACATTTGGACTTTACTCAATACAAACTAATATAAATAATCACGGTGACACTTTTATAAATATTATGCTTGATACAAAAAAGTGCATTGTGCGAGCCCATTGTGCGTCACATTGGGGATAAATATGGTGTTCGCACGTTCTCACATTAAGCATTGTCTCATTTGATCCTATATATATACATATATATATATATATATACACACACACACACACACAGACGGAGATATTATATATATACATATACATATATATATATATATATATATATATATATATATATATATATATATATGTTGTGAACCACAAATTCTATATCTATATATATCTACACAGACGGAGATATTATATATATATATATATATATATATATATATATATATATATATATATATATATATATATATATATAGATAAGAGATCACATACTAACCATGCTTAAAATACTAACTTACTAACTCAATAATATGCAACACATTGAACTTCAATATGCAGTACATATAATGTAAAGATGCACACTGTGAATTTCAATATGCAATAAAAACAATATGCAAAACTTTGAACTTTAATATGCAGTACAAATAATATGCAACACTTTGAACTTCAATATGCATACAAATAATGTAAAGATGCACCGTTTTTGATAGTTTGTAGGTTAGCATGAGATGAATGGTTAGTATGTGATCTCACCCCTATATATATATATATATATATATATATATATATATATATATATATATATATATATATATAGGGAGCGGTTCCGGTAAGAACAGATCTTAGGAGAAAAATGAGAACGAATATGGACCGTTGGATTGTATTATGTGGAACCAAATTGTGCATTTGGTGAAACTGAAATGTGCATTAAATGATATTGAAATGTGCAAGATAAAAATTGAAACTCAAGTGTGCATTAGATGAAACTGATATGTGCGAAAAAAAGTACAAAAATAACATCACATCGTACCTGTTGAGGTTTAGTCCCGTAGATCCGGAAGCCCAACATAAACTCCGGATATTGAGGACGATGGATTCGGTATAAAAGTGAATAATAAATATAAAGTGTGTATGAACTAGCTATTTTTACGTGGAAACCCGGAAAGGGAGAAAACCACGGGACTTTTTAGGCTAACGTCCAAGCCCGCTCTTTCTCATTAATATCCTCCCATCACTCAATTACATAATACATATTTGGAACCTCCACAGCTTTGTTGCTAATCTATCAAGAAAGAAGCAGTAAAATAGGAGGGAGAAGAGAAGCAGAAGAGACCTCCAAAATCCGAACCCTTAATTAGGAGGCTTCGCCTCCTATTTATAGAAGGGGAGGGGGGTTTTAGGGCTATGCTAATGGGCCAATGGGCCTAAATGGGCCGGTTGGGCCTAAATGATCCTTGCTAACTGGGCCCCGTATCGGGGCGGTGTATTGGGCCTCTGAACAGTAGTAGGCCGGGGTAATATACCCAACACAAGTCCCCCAGTTTCTTGAGTAGTGAGCCTGCAAATCTACTCGAGAAAGTATAATCCTGCTCACGTCCTTCCCTGCCTTCCCTGAATCAGAGTCTTGGAATAATCTCGGACGCAAGGCATGCATAAGCCCTAAGTGAGGTGCAATCCCGCACTAGACACGACGACGCTGAAAAGCCAATCGTTCGTGCTGTATAAAGCGGCAGTCCCGACCCTGAATGGCATGGGTGGACCCGACCGAGAAGAAGGCACGACGGCGCTGTAGAGCCAGCCGTTCGTGCTGCATAAAAGCGACGATCGCCATCCCAGAGCAAGGATAGACGAGCCCGTCAGAAAACTAGGCACGACGGTGCTGTGGAGCCCGTACGTGCTGTATAAGAGCGACGGTTGCCATCCCAGAGCAAGGATGGACGAGCCCGCCAGAAAGCCAGGCACGACGGTGCTGTGGAGCCCGAACGTGCTGCATAAAATAAGCGATCGTCATCCTAGATTAAGGATGGACCAACCTGACTCGGACAGACATGGACTTGACTCGACTCAGACAGACCTGGACTTGACTCAGACGGACATGGACTTGACTCGACTCAGACAGACCTGGACTTGACTCGAGACCACTGCGGGCCATCATGAATTCATATCACCTCCCAGCCAATTTATATCCCCCGTTCGCTCGCCTTCGCCGAACGGGTCGTTCTCCCCTAGTCGTTCCAAACAATAGTTCCATTCGCCCGTTCGTCTCACTAGAACGGTCTGATGTACAATGATGATCACGTCGTGCCGAGGTGGCTGATCGTAGAGCTACAGAAGCAGTCAGATCATATGGATAATAGGTCATTTCTGCTATAAGTCAGCACCAGGGTTAAGGTGCAAGCTGTTCGGCTTATTTCCGATATTTGTTCGTAGTTTCCTGATCCGCAAGGCATCACCTCTTGCTGCCTGCTGCCTTGTAGGCCCAAGGCTGATGTAACTTGTTCGTGTTATCATCCGTGTTCTTCCTGATCCGCAAGGCAATCACCTCTTGCTGCAAGACAGTTTCACAATTTGTGTAGTGTCTGCCATCTTCCAAGCCCATAATTCCGATGCATACCGTCGGTTTTACCGTCCGGGGTCATCCATATCATGAGGTTGAGATGTCCATCCTGGACCATTGAGAATAAGGCTCCCAAGCCGGGTCTCCCCCTTATTCTCTGCCAAAATGGAGACTCGCCTTCAGGTTACAGCTCGGGTTCCACCACAATAAATCACTACATCGTGGTTCGGGCGAGCTGCATAGCCAAGGCAAGATTTTAAGACCAGAGTCCCGATCCCCCGCTCGGTCACCCTATGACTTCGGATGCCGCCCGGTTCGTCCTACTCAAGATCTTTTACACCATCTCCCAAGCTGAGTCCGGGCTTGGTTAACCTGCATCTTTTTTTTTTTTTTTTTTTTTTTTTTGTGCTGAGATGGTGGCTCCCCATGGATCGAGACAAGTGGTATCTATCGATCGAGGTGAGACTTTATGGAATGTGAAGATGCCTCCTAAGCAAATAATGTCGTGCTGTGGGGCTGATCATGATATGAGAAACATGAATAAATCCAAGGGTCTTGCGAGCGCCCTCTGCTCAAGGACAACGGCAGCAACTGCGGCAGCGGTCCACAAAATGTAGCCATGCTGAAAGTCAAGCAACGGTCCTTATCCGCGCAGTGCGGGGACGAGGCCGGTCTTCAAATATGATAATGGCACCGTACTAGAGGGTCGGTGGCCATGTAATGAGGTTGCCGCTGGGGTCCGATCAGAAATAAATAATCAACAGTTCTCATCCGCGAGGAGCGGAGATGAGGTCGGTCTTCCAAATGATCACCATGCCGAGCCAGGAGAGTCGGTCGTGGTGAGAGAAAAGTCGGCGCTGGGAGGCCGATCTGTAAATCCTAGGGTCTTACAGGCGCCCTCAGCCCATAATGTTGCTCTAGGTGCCGAACGGCGGAGGCCGGATTGCCAGTCAGGTAGCGTAATCTGAAAGCTCGTGTATCGTACAGTCCATAGGACTTCTCTTCATGTGTTGTGACATCTATACATTTGTAGTCCCTTCTTTTCTCAATCGTCCATGATTCCTTCTACACACTAGTAACCTCACTCTGTTTTTTTTTTTCTTTCTTTCTTTCTTTCTTTTTTTTTTTTTTTTTTTTTTTTCTTTCTTTCTTTTTTTTTTTTTTTTTTTTTTGTAAACCTCCCCGTCCGAGCTGGTCGAACGGCTCTAAATGTAAATATTCCTTCTTTTTGTTGCCAATCATGAACGTCTTCGCGCTTTATGCTGAACGTCATAAACATCTCTCTGCTTCATGACTTCCCCGTTCGGGCTGACCGAACGCCTATGAATGTGATTCTTTTCTGCCGGTCATGAATGTCTCTGTGTTTCATGCCGAGCATCATAAATATCTTTGTGCTTCATGATTCCCCGTTCGAGCATATCGAACAAATTTTACTGCACAATAAGCATGGTAATGCGGCCGTACGGCCGAACAACATATACAAGTATATACACACACATGTGTAACATTTCTTTTTTATTCTTTATTTTTCATCCATGACTATCGGCCGAAGCGGTAATGATAACCCTTGGCCTAGATTTATCTTTTGAACTGCCCATACGCTCTCAGAACCACCTAGTGGTTTCCTGGGCGTTCTCAGGAAAGCTTTCAGCTAATTAAAGTACGTATTTCGCCCCGTACTGGGTACAGTTGCTGTTCGGGCACTCAATGCCGAACGAGACCATGAGTAGTCTCCAAGTCAAAATACGTCATCGGGCAATGCCCTTGCGAGATGCTTTAGCTACTTTAGGCCGATCGGGGGTGGCCCGATATGCCCAGTAAAACCAATCATTTAATTAACATGTTGGTGATTTTATTAATAAAACTCCGTTCGACACTATTCATCTTGGGAATTTTAATTCCTTATTAAATAATTGTTATTCAACTAATAAATAATATGTGTCGTCGGAGTAATGCCCCTCGGGGCACTCAGATCGCTCCATTACAGCCGGTCGTGGGTTGGCCGGTCGGCCCATTAACCCAATCATTTAATTTTAAATGATGGCGGACCTATCACTGGAGCTTCGTTCGGTCATTATTTAATTTGGGATACTTTAATCCTTAGAAAATAATGGTGATATACACTTTATAGTGAAATAATACTACGTATTATTCTACCACTTTAATAAATAAAAGAGGGAAGTATGTAGCACTTAGCTGAATAAGGCTGAATTTCAGCTGTTGGGCCAAAATATCGGCTTGCTAAGAATCTGGTCCGTCCCCTTTATAACAATGTAGCCTTCCTCAGAGATAGGGTCCGCTAGGTCCGAGGAAACTCGTCTGGACCGACTCTTGGCCCATCAAAATGATTCATAGCATGCATGACCCAGCCCACTCCTAAGTTAAGTCAAGATAACAGTCTGGCCGAGATTTTCAAGAAGCGTTCAAGCTTCTCTCGTTCTTCTAGACTCAGCGAGCAAAGACGCTTAATGGCATGGTGATTCCGTTCGGGAACCTCCCCGACTGAACAGGGATCGAGCTGGAGATTCGCCGTACGGGCTGTGCAAGCCGGAACAGATGGAAGCAAATGGTAGTTGCGTGGCCAGACCGAACGCTATTTAGAAAGTGTCCCAAGCTCGGACCCGCAGGGTAGTTCGGTCTCCCTCCGGCAGATGTTTGCTAACCCAGTCTGGATAGGTACGGGCCTCTGACCGGAGCTCCCATCTAGGAGATTGGTCCGGTACTTTCGCGTTCGGTGAGCAGTCTTTGGTGTCTATAATCGATCGTTCGGGTAGTGGGATATGCCGATTATCTTGAGCTTTGATTTTTTCCACCCGTTCACCTTTGGGAACTTTCTCTCCTCCCGTTCAGGTAATCTCCCAGAGATGATTTTTCCTCTGCTTTCATTGCCAAAAATGGATGGGCAGGATCACGGCAGGTATATGCTGGTTTTGCACATTCCCGTTCGGTAAACGGTGTTACTTGGTGACCGAACGGCATTTGAACAGGGGTGGCAGCTCCATGGCATCCATGGCTGAGAGCACCTTGGGGGTTTGCAGCTGGTTCGCGGTTGAGTGCTAGGCTCCCGTTCGGGAGATAATTCATACTGTATCCTCTCCTTCCTGGCAGGAATAATTTGGGAAGCCATTCAAGGCCCGACCGGCCTGCTTGGTATATATGTATTGCAATCGAAGATCGGAAATTGTCGCTACTTCTGCCCGACTGGCCAGAGATGAACGCTGCTCCTTAAGGTATTGTTGATGTTCGGCCTGGTCAAGCCCCTTTGAATTTCCGTTCGGCGCTCGGGATGCGGTGCATGTCCTGTTCGGCGTTCGGGATGCGATGTCTCAGGGCTAGGTGATGCCAGAGCAGCCAGGATGCTCGAGCAGGAGGTGTTGCTGTCGAGATTGTTCCTGTTCGGCATTCGGGAAGTGAAACTTGTTTTGGATAATGATGATTGTCAAATCATCCACTTGCTCTGTGTTTGTCAGCCACGTGAGAATGATAGATATTTCCTCTATTCCCAAGTTAGTGGGCATGTGGGCCCACTAACATTTTCTTTTCCCAACATGTCTATTAGGACATGGAGTGACCAGCTGCTTCACGGATCCTGGATTCTTCACCAGGAGTTCGTTATTCATAACTTTTCCAGAATTCTTATCCTTCTCTTCCTTCCTTGCTAAGACCCAAGATCCTCCAGAATCGTTTTTCTTTCCTTTCTTGCTTGAATAAGAACGTTTTGGTATCAAAAAATTTGTAGAACATGAATCTTTTTGAAGCGGTTCCCACAGACGGCGCCAATGTTGAGGTTTAGTCCCGTAGATCCGGAAGCCCAACATAAACTCCGGATATTGAGGACGATGGATTCGGTATAAAAGTGAATAATAAATATAAAGTGTGTATGAACTAGCTATTTTTACGTGGAAACCCGGAAAGGGAGAAAACCACGGGACTTTTTAGGCTAACGTCCAAGCCCGCTCTTTCTCATTAATATCCTCCCATCACTCAATTACATAATACATATTTGGAACCTCCACAGCTTTGTTGCTAATCTATCAAGAAAGAAGCAGTAAAATAGGAGGGAGAAGAGAAGCAGAAGAGACCTCCAAAATCCCTACCCTTAATTAGGAGGCTTCGCCTCCTATTTATAGAAGGGGAGGGGGGTTTTAGGGCTATGCTAATGGGCCAATGGGCCTAAATGGGCCGGTTGGGCCTAAATGATCCTTGCTAACTGGGCCCCGTATCGGGGCGGTGTATTGGGCCTCTGAACAGTAGTAGGCCGGGGTAATATACCCAACAGTACCTTTTTATTCTGCACATTTCAGCTTCACCTAGTGCACATTTCAATTTCACGTAATGCACAATTCAACAACACATAATGTCACTCTATCATACCCTTTGTGATGCACATTTCAATTTCACCTAATGCACATTACAGTTTCATCTAATGCACACTGAATTTCACTTGAGGCAAATCTAACGGTCCAGATTCGTTCTCATTTTTCTCATAAGATCGTGTTCTTATTTGAACCAAAACCTATATATATATATATATATATATATATATATATATCCACACACACACATATATATAGAGGTTTTGGTTCAAATAAGAACACGATCTTATGAGAGAAATGAGAACGAATCTGGACCGTTAGATTTGCTTCAAGTGAAATTCAGTGTGCTTTAGATGAAACTGTAATGTGCATTAGGTGAAATTGAAATGTGCATCACAAAGGTTACGATAGAGTGGCATTATGTGCAGTTGAATTGTGCACTACGTGAAATTGAAATGTGCACTAGGTGAAGCTGAAATGTGCAGAATAAAAAGTACGATGTAATGTTATTTTTGTATTTTTTTTCGCACATATCAGTTTCATCTAATGCACACTTGAGTTTAAATTTTTATTTTGCACATTTGAATATCATTTAATGCACATTTCAGTTTCACCAAATGCACAATTTGGTTCCACATAATACAATCCAACGGTCCAGATTCGTTCTCATTTTTCTCCTAAGATCTGTTCTTACCGGAACCGCTCCATATATATATATATATATATATATATATATATATATATATATATATATATATATATATATATATATATATAGACACACATGCAACCCTGAAGTATTGTGTTTGTTGAAAGTTAATACCGCCATAATTAATAATTCTTCCATTTAAGTAAGTTTGGTGAATCGAAGACAGTTAAAGTAAAAACATAAGTAAACATATTATCACCATGTACGTCGTTTCAAAATTCTCAACAATTATAATATAATTAATTACATATTACATTTAAATGTGTGTGTGTATTTTACTCACTCTTAAAACTCATATAACATTTATGATAAATATTTTTAATCATTACTAGCTTATTATTATTCTAGTATAATATGTATTAATTCATTAACCATTACTAAACCGTGTACAATTATGTATGTCTATATGTATATGTTTATGTGTTTTTATATACTACCTATAATCTAATTAATTTAATATGTTTGTACATTATTTATATGTGTGTATACATGTTTAAGTATATATTTATAACGGGGGACGGGGCGGGGACGGGGTGGGTGTAGCAATTCCCGTCCCCCGCCCCATATTTTAACGGCGTAAAAATATCTCACCCATCCCCGTCCCTGCCCGCCCCAAGCCCCGCTCCTTCCTTCCCCCGCGGGGCGGTTCCCCACGGGTCCCCGCCCCTATTGCCATCCTTAGTTCTAACAGAGATCAGGTGGGTGACATGGTGAGGGGTTACTTTGAGCAACTGTTTACCCATGGCGACAGCATAGAGGTGGCAGACTGCTCTGGGGATTTCGGCCAGATCACGTCAGAACAGATCTGGTTCTTGCTTCGTGATGTAAGACCTGAAGAAGTGAGATCAGCTATTTTTGATATGCACCCTGAGAAAGCCCCGGGATCGGATGGTATGAATCCTGCCTTTTTTCAAAAATATTGGGATATTGTTAGTCCGGAAATATGTAGGCTTTGCTCCAATATGTTTAATTCAGGAAAAATCCCAAGAGAACTTAATGTGACAAATCTTGTTTTAATCCCTAAAAAAGATAAGCCTGAAGATATGGGGGATTGGAGAACCATTGCGCTGTGTGACGTTGTTTATAAAAAATTTTCGAAGGTCTTAGCTAACAGGTTAAAAGTGTTGTTGGGAAATCTTATTGGAAAAAATCAAAGTGCTTTTGTTCCGGGTAGGTCTATTGTGGGCAATGTATTGGTAGCTTTTGAGACGCAGTATTATTTGAAAAGAAAATGTTATGGCAAAGAGGGGTTTGTGGCTTTGAAACTTGATATGAGTAAAGCTTATGATAGAGTGGGCTGGGACTTCTTACGTGTGATCATGGTTCGTATGGGCTTTGCGTTGAGATGGGTGGATTTGATTATGGAATGTGTTGCGACTGTCAGCTATTATGTGCAGTTTGATCGGGATTTCTGGGGACCGATTAATGTTAGAGCACTCATTTGGCAGTTTATTTTGCATTAAAGAAAGTTGATCACAAAAGTTAATGAGGCTTAATGATGGGTGTTGTAACGGATTTGTGTTTATTATTAGCATTAGTAACGATATTAAGGCTGGAGGTTACTTATTTTGAGCTGGCTAGCATTAATGACGAGTTGCGAAACCGACGGGAGGGGCACTTAATTTGAGCAGAAGGGGTTGAGGTGGAGACGTTGGGATGCACTCTGTAAGCCTAAAAATATGGGGGGCTTAGGTTTTCGGAGAATAAGATATTTTAATCTGGCAATGTTAGCCAAACAGGGATGGAAACTTGTGACAGAGCCAGCCAGTCTGATGTGCAGAGTGCTGAAGGCCAGGTATTTTCCGAACTCAGTTTTTCTTAATGCTCAGGTAGGGAATAACCCTTCTTTCATTTGGTGTAGTATTTTTGAGACAAAATATTCTCAAAAATAATATCCGAAGGAGAGTTGGGAATGGGATCGATGTTCAAGTATGGGCTGATGCCTGGCTCCCGGGAGGGGGGGGGGGGGGCGTGTTACATCTGCAAGACCATCAGGGATTAGAGACATGAATGTTGCTGCCCTACATGATATCACTGGGAAACAATGGAATAGGGAGAGAATTATTAATATTTTTAATGCAGATGACAGGCGGAAGATTTTGAGTATACTCATTAGCGCCTATGACAGGAAGGATGGGCACTGGTGGAATGGGAAGATTAATGGGAGGTTTTCTGTCAAGAGTTGTTACCGCTTACTTACAGGGGAATTACAGATAGCGGACGGTACTAACTGGGCTCGGCTATGGGATTTGCATATCCCACCGAAGCTCAAATATTTTGCTTGGCAGGTTATTGATGGCTCTCTCCCTACCGTGGATAATCTGAGGCGAAGAGGAGTGCAGGTTGTCGGAGGGTGTAGAGTGTGTGTGTGGTGATGAGAGTGAAGACACGGATCATGCGTTCCGATTATGCGAACGAGCTCAAGAGGTCTGGAGGCAGGTGGGGATTGATCTAGGCAGCCCGGTAGATCCAGTGGATACGTGGATATGGCAGCACCTGGGTGGACCGAATGGGGAAGATCGATGCAGATTCATTGCTATTTTGTGGAGTCTATGGAAAAGGAGGAATGAATGTGTTTGGAAGGATAAATGACAAGGAGCTGTGAGGGTAAGAAACACGGCGGCAGGTATACTTTCAAGTGGGAGAGATGCGCAAGGCATTGAACGTACAGAGCAGACTAGGAAAGAAAATAATCCCTTGACAGTTTGGAAACGACTGCAGGATGGTTATGTTAAGATTAATGTGGATGGGGCGGTGGATGAAGGCAAATATACCCGAGCCTGGAGGTGGGTAGCACGAGATCATCATGGTAATTTTTTAAAGGCAAAAGGGGTCTCAAGATTGGCTAGCTAGCTAGCATGTGGTGGAAACAGAGGCAATGGGAGTTCGTGATGCGTTGATGGGAGTGGCAGAAGCAAAGTGGACACACGTGGAGATTGAAACCGATGCTCTCTCAGTGGTCCAGGGTCTAAAGGGGGGGGGGGGGATCGTCTTACCTCTTCCTTATTCTTGATGATATTAGGCATATGTTGAAAGATAAGAGTAACTATACTGTCTCTTTTTGTAAGCGATCTGCGAATCGTGTTGCTCATGCTTTAGCAAGAGCACACGTGACTGTCTTAGATCAGTGCTATTGTTATGATATATGATATTCTTGAAACTATTGTAAGCATGTTGGCACATGATTTGGTGAATTAATATATCAGTCAGTTGGAGATAAAAAAAAGGGAAAGTTCCCGAAATAGGACTAAAACGGTTTGAAAATTCCAAAATAGGAATGTCATATTTTTTATTCCCAAAATAGGAGTAATTACTGCAAAGTTTGGAAAATATTGTCATGTTTAAAGTCTGGTACTGCTAAAACATGATAGTAATTAGTCCTATTTTAAAAATAAAAACAAGTCAGTCCTATTTTGGAATTTCCAAACCTTTTTAGTTTTATTTTGGGTAAATTCTCTAGAAAACACGTTGAATGCACTCATGTTTTTTTTCCCATATATATCATGATTAATTACATTACTTCTCTTTTATGCCACCCAAATTGGGAAACTTTAATGCGGAAAATGTATTTCGTGCGGAGAAGGTGGAATCAGACGCGGCACGGCGGTGGTGGTGGACGACGGCACGGGCAGCCTCGGCGGCAGCCTGGTCAACGACTTGGATTTCCCACAAGGCGGACCTCTTGGCATGGCCGTTGTGCACAAGGGAATGCCTCCACGGCATAACGCCGCCGTACTGCTTCAGGAATTGGCCGTACCGGGTTCGGAGCCGCACCACCCCTTCCCCCTCCATCTCCCATTCCGTCGCCGAGTTCAATCTATCTGGCAAGCTCTGGACGACTTTCTGGCACCTTCCCCGGGGGAGTAACGGCATGTTCGACGCCGTTAGGTATTTCCCGTGACAGCTTTTCAGCCGCAGGTAACGGTGCGTTCCTTCCGCCACCATCTCCACCGTCCAGAGGGCGTTTACCGATGAGCCATTGCCGCCCCGCCGCAGCGTTTTCTGATCCTTATCCGCCACCAGAAATTTCCCCTTTTTGTATTCCTTGAGCCGAATCACTTTTGCGTTCTCCAAATGCTCCATACCCTGCCGATCGATCGATCCCTGGCGGTAAATTTTAATTACAGAACATTAACTATCAATTAAGATTAAGAAGAAAATTAAAAAGTAGCAATTTCGTATATAAAACACACACAAACTATTTATGTATACCGGCGGTAAAGATTACGAGACGGGTGGCCGGGAGATCA